ATTCCTTTCGACGATAGATTCACCTCCAGGATTTGCACTTTGTTTGAATTTTTATGATAACAGTTACGAGATACCAAATGAAATCAGTTGTGAAGACTCAATTGAGTTTCATGATTAATACAAAAAGTCATCTTGGAATACTGGATCATACAGTATATGTCTGGACTATGTTTTCAGTAAATAGCTTATCTTCCAATACATAAAACACTTAAAACAATTTTATAGCAGGGGATAATTGTCTTTTTTATCAGGGAAAGAAAAAGAAATGAGGATGGAGCGTCCTGTTGAAGGTATGCTAAACCCAGCATGATTCAATTAATGTAATTAATGTTTGTTGTAAGTTGATAAAGTACAGACCAGACCACCATGATGCGCGTCCTCCTGGAGAAGCCTCACGCATGTTCCGCTAGATGGCGATGCGTTTGTTTCTTACATGTTTTTGTTCCCGTTAAATGGCAATGTTAATTCACAAGATCAGTTTACATTGATTTTCTTATTCCACGATAATATGCAGATCATAGCTGACATATATTATGTTTGAACATAGCAGTAAACTATATAAAAACTAAGTTTATGATTAGTAATCCCAGTATATTATGGTATTTCTAGAAAACCGAAGAGAAAATATGAAAAAAAAGAATAGTCTTCCTGCGAAGAGAGAGATGACTATCTTCTCAGTCACGAGGTACTTAATTAGTTTCCCGAATGTGTCCTCCCACGAAGGCATGGGGGGAGGGAGGGCTGGAGGAGGGGGGTAGATGGAGATGGTCATGTTGGGGAAAAGGCGAATGGAGTAGTCACTGGGCATTTCCTTGAAGACGCCTGACACCGAAGACCCTGCGTGATCCTCAATTGTGTTCTTCTTACTCATGCCCGCTGCCGGGAAATGCCTTCATACATGAAGCAGGTCGGCGTCCAGTGGTTGGTGATCAGGGCGTGAGCACGAGGAGTTAAAAGAATACACAGACACTTCCTTAGGGGAAGAGTAAAATGGGGTTTCTTGCTCGCGCTTTTACAACGGTCACCCCTGACCCCATCACATCACTTACACTCACAAGATCTAACTCGTTTCAATTAATGTAATTATAGCGCGGTCGTGTGAGGTAGCAATTATGTAGGCCTGGCGATGGTGCGGCCGCCCACCTTCGCTCCTACACCCACAATTATGTCATCAGTGCCGGAGTCGGGCTGGCGGCCGCGCGCCTCACCGCTGGCCCACACGTGCGCTCATGCCGCGCCTTCCTCGCTTAGGACTTACCGTGAGGCATTTACTTACGTTAAACAATTCATTAAGTAGAATTCGTGCTCTTTTGTGTTACGAAATTCCTCATAGGATAAAAGGTATATCATGGAACACATCAAAATCTTTCGGCGATTAAAACAAAGTAAATCGACGGCTTCGTCATAAAATCAACGCAGCACTATATTTGTCCTGGAGATCTCCCGCCGCGGGACGCGCCTCAGTACACGGTTGGCAATGCAACTCAACTACGCACGCTGCAGCCAGAGGTCAGCACCGCTCCCAGCAACACCTAGGATACCTGGCGCGAACGTGTGTCCCGCAGCCCACCTATAAAACCACGCAAAACATTTTTCCTTTGTTTCGGTCTCTCTCTCTCTCTCTCTCTCTCTCTCTCTCTCTCTCTCTCTCTCTCTCTCTCTCTCTCTCTCTCTCTCTCTCTCATTTCTTGAAATTAACATATAAATCTGATATATGATTAATGCTCCTATTATCACATCTTGGCAAAGTAATCACAAGTTCGCGAAGACAATATGTGGCCGGCGCAGATCGTCAACCCTATTTCTCTGTAACGTTCTCTTTCCTTCTCGATCAATCACTTTCATTTTACCTTCTCCCGCCCAATTAATCATTTTCGTTCTACATTATCTCAATTAATCATCATCTTCTTAAGGAACACCTCTGGACAAGGGCGTAAGGGTAAAGTGGTTCGCCGGGAAAGAGGAGTTGGTCAGGCTTCGGTGTCACGACTTAAATTTGTGACGTCACAGCTCCGGGTTCGTCCTTGGCGGGGCTGCGGCTGTCACGGTCTGCATGTTCTGATGGTTTGGAACAATAATGAAATCTGGAAGAGCAATTTAAAGAGCGCCAACAAATAATAATGAATAGCTGGACCAATAAACATGTCATAGGTATAGAGCTAAGTCCATTCATTATTTGATTTATACTTCTAAGTTTTTTTTTCTCAAAAGTTCCTTAATAGTTATAATACTTTTAATCTCAATCCACACTGTCTGTACTGGTAAAACATTGCGTGTATCTTCCCTTACAACAGAATACCATAGATCAACAAAAATATCAGCAATAATACAAACTCGCATCAAAGACCTACAGCCCCCCCCCCTCCTTCACCAACCCCCGTCGCGCCCGCCTCCTGGGAGCGGCTGACAGCTTTGTTCCTCTCCTCGAGTCCCACCACTGGAAGCTCTGAAGGTCGCCATTTAGAGTCTGGTTGAGAGCGACCCACGGCGCCACCGGAACGTTGCTGGGCCCGAACTGATGGTGATGGACGGGCCGTAATAAGAAGATAGACTTCATCAATTAGATTCGAGAGCCCCCCCGCCGGGCCGCTACCTGCTGCCCTCACGCAACCCACCTCCGTCAGCGCGTCCTGCCAGCTCGACGCCCCGAGACCATCCACTTGAAATTCTAATTGCGTTTTCATTCCGGGTGTTTGGTTTATTGGTTGCATATTCAATCTTACTTTCTAAAGGCGGGGGGATGAGTGGTGATTGCGTTAAAGAGTATGTTCTTCCTGGGAGAAGGATGAACAACGCTGCCTTCATAAACTTTATGCCTTTTATAAACCGGAATAAACTGTATGGGGGACAAGGAGATGATCGGTCGCCTTACAAACCTGCTCAGATTGAGGCCAGTTAGATCGCTGCTTCTGGTCATGATGGGGCTTATTGGATTAATAGAACGTTTTTTCTGTTTGTCACTGCTTTCAAATTATATTTTTCTCAATAATTATTTATTTCATATTTTGCGTATATATTTTCACATATGTGTGTAGCTGTATGTGTGCGTTTGCATGTTTCTTTTCGTGTGTGCAAGCAAACGAGTAAATACGATCGAAAGTTAGACAATTTTCCCTTCGTTGTGTGTACCTCATGATTACTCTCAAGGCAGAATAAGTAAAGAAGGCAATATCAGTGCAATACATATAGATTAATTAATTATTCATGACCCTATTCACTGGATACGAATAATCACATATGTTACCTTATGAGGGGTGTGGCATTTTAATATAGGTGCTTAATTCTAAATGGCACTTCAAGTTTATTACACATAGTATAGTCAATTACTTTTTTATATTTGAACATGCTAATTAGGGTAAGTTCTCTATATATCACTGATGAAAAACGTCGACCACCAATATAACACACACACACACACACACACACACTGAGTCATTTACTCTCTCTAAAGAAATTGACCTGAGAACCTTGGCATACGGTTGACAAGCATACGTGGGTCAGGTAGACGAGGCCACTCAGTCTCCCCTCTTTCTCCACCCCCCCCCCCTTCGACCCCCCACACCCAGCGCCGTCGGAGGCACAGCAGGAGGAACCATAGCGAGGATTCCTTCGCGGTATCTGTCACGTCAGCACGTATTAATGACGTAGGGGCCGGTCTCGTCCGCTTCCCAAAGGGGAGGGTCGCGTCGAGGTCGCGGAGATGCCAAGATAACAAGGCTCGGAGGAGAAAGGAAGACGAGAATGAGGAAGCCTTCCGTGAACATCCTCTCGCTCTGAATTTCGCCGCCTTCGTTTCTGTATT